CTTCTAGTCAGGGCAGGAAGCGTAACAAAACAAGTGAAATTTTGGGTATTGAAAGTCCCTTCCACTTACAACATAATCTTGGGAAGAACATGGCTCCATGCCATGAAATCAGTAGCATCATCCTACCATCAAGTAATGTGGTTCCCCAACGAAACTGGAGTAATTGAAGAGGTCTTTGAAGACCAGATTATGTCCAAGCAATGCTTTGTCACGGCTAATGGCAGCCGCGCTACCAAGGGATATGTTCATTCGGTGGAAGAACCTGAGAGTAATGAACTGTTCGCAGATGTCGGCAAAGCAACTGATCAAAAAGCGGTGGAAGATTTGGTAGAGGTAAGAATAGATGAAAAGAACCCGGATAAGTTCTTTTTGCTCGGTTCGTCGTTGTCCAGCACTGAGAGATTAGAGGTCTTGGAATTCTTGACCTCTAACATTGAAGTGTTCGCCTGGACGCCCTACGACATGCCAGGCATTGATCAAAACTTCATCTGTCACCAACTCAATGTCCACCCATCTGCCAGACCAATCATTCAGCGCACTCGCAGATCGGCACTCCACCACGCCGAGATAGTGGTAGAAGAGGTGGGAAATCTGTTAGAGGCAGGAGCTATCAGAGAGGTGCACTACCCTAGATGGATTTCCAACACAGTCGTGGTACCAAAGAAGAATGGCAAATGGCGTGTCTGAGTCAACTATAAGACAGTCAACAAAGCATGCCCAAAGGACAGCTTCCCCCTACCACGGATAGATCAATTGGTAGACCTAACAGCGGGGCACAACCGGCTTAGCTTTCTGGATGCATACAGAGGCTACCATTAGATTGCCATGTACGAACCAGACCAGGAGGTCACGTCCTTTACCACCCCAAGAAGACTGTATTGCTATAAGGTCATGCCCTTTGGCATAAAGAACGCAGGGGCAACATTCCAGAGAATGGTTACCAAGATGTTTGAGCCGTTGTTAGGCAGAACAATGGAGGCTTACATCGACAACATGGTGGTCAAAAGCAAGGACGAGAACGACCATCTAAGGGACCCAGGTGAGATGTTCCAGATTCTGAAGAAACACAAGTTGCGCCTTAATGCATCTAAGTGCGCGTTCGGTGTAGGATCTGGCAAATTCCTAGGCTTCCTGGTGACCAACCGAGGTATAGTGGCAGACCCCTCCCAAATCAAAGCTATTCAGGATTTGGAGAGGCCTAACTCAGTAAAAGAGGTACAGCATCTCACCGGCATGGCTGCTGCACTCAACCGATTAATCAGCCAGTCGTCAGACAGACTACAACCATTTTTTCAAGCATTAAGAGCCAAGTTCGAGTGAGACGAAGAATGCGACCGCGCTCTGGAAAGCTTAAAAGAATACATGTCTTCTCCACCACTGCTGGTCACCCCAATACCTGGAGAAGAACTCTTCCTATACCTGGCAGTCTCTCAGCATGCAATTAGCGCAATGTTAATTCGCGCGGAAGGAATCCAACATCTGCCCATCTATTATGTCAGCAAGACGTTGCTGGGTGCCGAAACAAGGTATTTGCCACTGAAAAAACTGGCATTGGCCTTGATGATGGCCTCAAGAAAGTTGTCACACTATTTTCACGCCCACACTATAGTCGTCCTCACAACTTTCCCATTAAAAGCTTTGTTTGAGAGGGCAAACTTTTCTGGGCGAATCTTGAAGTGAGCAGTAGAGTTGGGACAATTCGACATCAAGTTCCAACCCAGAACCGCAATAAAGACCCAAGCTTTAGCAGACTTTGTCGCAGAATTCACCCCAAGAAGTCATCATATCTGCCCAATCGACCTGACAGCTTCAACCAAACCAGGGATAGAAGTTGACGCCGGAATAGCGCAACCCCTGGTGCAGAATATTCAGTCAGACCCCAAGGCAGACCAGAATAAAGACAACAGGGAAGAAGCGAACCAAGCCACACCGAGCCAAGACTCACCAACAAATAAAGACTTGGCACAATCAGATAGCGAGGGGCAGACAGCAAGTATGGACCTTGAAGAAAACACCAGCAACATTCTTGACCCCACGACATCATCTGACCCTTTCACTTGCTGGAAGTTGTTCGTTGGTGAGATATGGAAGCTCTTTGTGGATGGAGTATCCAACCGGCATGGTACAGGACTTGGCATAGTCCTCATCGCACCAAACGGCCTGGTTGTGGAACAAGTAATCAACCTTGGCTTCCTAGCATCAAACAACGAAGCGGAGTATGAAGCACTTCTTACAAGACTCAAATTAGCATTCTACATGAAAGCCACCGAATTAATGGTCTACAGTAACTCACAGCTGGTGGTAAACCAAATTTCTGGCGACTATGAAGCAAAAGATGACAGAATGGCCAAGTACCAAGAATTGGTCAGAACAGAGATCAAGAAATTTGAAGTAGTAAGGATAGAACAGATTGGCAGGGAGGAAAACAGCAAAGCAGACAAACTAGCAGGCTTTGCATCAATGGCAGATACATCCATCCCTCACCCACTACTAATTGACTACCTACCGAGACCAAGCATTGAAGACCCCGAAGTAGAAAAGATATGTTGCGCCGAATTAGGCCCCTCATGGATGGATCCCATCATACTGTTCTTAAAAGACGTCGTCTTACTAGAAGACAAGAAAGAAACCAACAAAATTAGATCAAAGTCGTAGCGATTTTGGCTCTCCCCATCTATGGCATTGTACAAAAAGTCATTCTCAGGACTTTATCTAAAGTGTGTCCACCCCAGTAAAGTAGAAGCATTTTTGTTCGAAATACATGAAGGGGTGTGCGGAAGCCACCAAGGAGGAAGATCGTTAGCTTACAGAGCCATTTCGCAAGGATACTGGTGGCCATACATGCAAGCAGACTCAGAGAAGTATGTGAAGAAATGCGAGAAATGTCAGAAGTTCGCACATCAAATACATCAGTCGACCAGAGAACTCCTACCATTGACCAGCCCATGGCCCTTTGCAATGTGGGGCTTGGACATAGTAGGACCACTTCCAACAGCGCCCGGAAATAAGAAGTTCTTTCTCGCAGCAACAGACTACTTCACAAAGTGGGTAGAAGCAGAAGCATTGGCATCAATCAAGGAAAAAGATGTGAAGAAGTTCGTCTGGCAGAATATCATTACTCGATTCGGCATACCTAAAGCCCTAATATCAGACAACGGCACCCAGTTTGATGGCAAAATCTTTAGAAGCTTTTGTGAAGAATACAAGATAGAATTCTACAATTCTACACCAGCATATCCTGAAGCAAATGGCCAAGCAGAAGCATCAAACAAGGTCATCATGGATGGATTAAAGAAAAGTCTAGAGAAGGCAAAAGGCAAAAGGCAAGTGGGCAGAGGAACTTCCTCATGTTTTATGGGTTTACCGCACCACACCTCGACGATCAACAGGAGAAACACCATTCTCCTTAGCCTACGGCATGGAAGCAGTAATCCCACTGGAAGTTGGCCTTCCCACAATTAGAAGCGAAAATTTTGATCCAAACTTAAATGGAGAAACCATAGCATTGGAGCTCGACCTCGCCGAAGAAAGAAGAGAAAGAGAACTGGTTCACATTGCCTCATACCAACAAGAGTTATCCAGGAAATACAACAAAACAGTGCATCCAAGGCAATTCACGATCAGAGATTGGGTGCTGCGCAAAGTGGTGGGAAACACCTTGGTACCAGGAGATGGCAAGTTGGGGCCTAATTGGGAAGGACCTTACAAAGTGGTCGGATTAGCTGGCAAAGGGGCATACCACCTGGAAGATGAGGACGACAAAGCCATTCCTAGGCCATGGAATACTGTCAATCTCAAACTATTTTATTTTTAGTTTTTTTTTTTAAAAAAATATATGTGTAATTTTTCTTTTTCTTAATAAAACAAAGTCGATTCTTTTCAGCATAGTTGTTTTTTGTAAAAGATTGTATTAAGAAGTTAAGGACATCAAAAGCAAGGTTGGCTGAAAAAACCAACACCCCTCCTAAGCCCAGGATAAGGATCCAGGCTGCAAGACGTTTGGTCGGAATAACCAAACACTTTACTTTAGGTTGGCTGGAAAAACCAATCTGAAGGTTGGCTGGAAAAACCAACACCCCTCTTAAGCCCAGGATAAGGATCCAGGTTACAGGACGTTTGGTCGGAATAACCAAACATTTTATTCTAAATTGGCAGGAATAACCAATTTAGTGGTTGGCTGGATTAAACCAACTTTTCGTACTCTTTAGCCGAAATAGGGACATCAGCTAAAGAGTGGTTGGCTGGATTAAACCAACTCTGGATACTCTTTAGCCATAGTAAGAACATCGGCTAAAGAGTGGTTGGCTGGATTAAACCAACTCTTGATACTCTTTAGCCGAAGAAAGGACATCGGCTAAAGAGTGGTTAGCTAGATTAAACCAACTCTTAACACTCTTTAGCCAAAGAAAGAACATCGGCTAAAGAGTGGTTGGCTGGATTAAACCAACTCTTAATACTCTTTAGCCGAAGAAAGAACATCGGCTAAAGAGTGGTTGGCTGGACTAAACCAACTCTTCGTACTCTTTAGCCGAAGTAAGAACATCGGCTAAAGAAGTAAGGACATCGGCCAAAAGTAGTTGGCTGGATTAAACCAACTCTTAGTACTCTATAGCCGAAGTAAGGACATCGGCTAAAGAGTAGTTGGCTGGACTAAACCAACTCTTAATACTCTTTAGCCGAAGTAAGGACATCGCCTAAAGAGTGGTTGGCTGGATTAAACCAACTCTTAGTACTCTTTAGCCGAAGTAAGGACATCGGCTAATTCAGCTAAAGAGTGGTTGGCTGGTAAAAACCAACTTAGAAGTTGACTGGATTAAACCAACTCTTGGTACTCTTCAGCCGAAGTAAGTATATCGGCTAAAGAGTGGTTGGCTAGTAAGCTCAGTCAGATTGCTCAGCTAAGACCGGAATAAAGTATCTCGGCCACAAATATTGTGTTTCAAGTTGCAGTTAGAAAGCAAGCACAAACAGGAATGCAAACCGAAAAAGAAGATACAAAATCAGTTAAAGAGATCGTCCAGATCAGCATCCAGCTCAACTCTGAGTCCGGTCTCAGAAGGAAGTTCGGTCGTAGCCAGAACTCGGTTGGGCTTGGTTGAAACAAGCTCCTCTGGGTTCGGCTCAGCTGGAGACACGACTATAGCATCAGGCGCTAGGGGATTAGAGATCGCTGGAATTGGAGAAGTAGGTTGGCGACCGAGCTGGGAGTCGTCTTCAGAAGAAGAGCCTTCATCTCCACCTTCTTCAAGAAATTGTTTCTGAAGGTCGGCAGCATACTCCGCCAGTGAGGCCGGAATGAAATACTGAGGAGCATTGTAGATTTCGGTTTCAGGCCCGTAACCGAGCTGCTCCACTGCACCTCTCCAGCCGCACTTGAAGAACAAATCCTTTGCTGCTTCACATTGTTTGATATAAAGGGCTTCACCCTCCTTGAAACCCCGGAGCTTGGCGTCTTCTGCCTTCTTCTTTAGCTCTGTTATCTCGGCGTCCTTCTTACCTTCGAGCTTGACTAGCTCACAAAGATACTTATCCTTCATCACAACTAGGGCCTTCTGTTTGTCTGCATCGGCCGAGGTAACTAGTCCGGTCAGACGAGCTACCTCGGCCTCTAGCTCGTCCGTTTTCTGGTAGGACTCCTTCAGTTCGGTTGTTTTTACTTCAACCTCTGCCATGGCTTGCCTTACTGTGCTCCTGAGCTCCAACACCTTTTTATGCGCAATTTGGCCCTTTTGCACGGCCTGAAAAAGAAACTAATGTCAAAACCAAACAGAAAGTTGGTGATATTTAAAGAGACAAAATGAACAACTTACCAGGATCATGGATTTCGTGGCCGAGCAGATGGCCTTTAGCTCGGTCAAGTTCTTGTGGTGCTCCATGTCAACTGGGAGGCACACACTCTTGGCAAAGTTGAAAACCATTAGATGGTCTTTTTCAGCGACAACTGAATCAGTATCCTGAATATCACGGTTCTGGAAAGTCAGTTTGGGTGCCCACTTGGAAGAGCTGGCTCGGTCGGCATGTTCCGGTTGCGAGCTCGGTGGTGGGCTTGGTGGCAGAGTGGTTTCGTCTTCATCAATTAAGCGTTGTTCGGTCTGGGTAGTACGGGCGCGCTTAGTTCGGCGTGATGAAGAAGGTTGTTGAGATGGAAGGGCCACCACTGTTTCTTGTGTTTGGTTTGGTGGTGGTACCTCGGCCCTGTTTGTCTCGGTCAAGAGAGCCCTGACTCTGTTCCTTTTGGCCATCTCTTCTTCAGCAGTCAGTGGGATTAGTATAATTTGTGGCAAGGTTGGGTCCAGTTCGGAGGCGTCCTCCAACAAAAAGTCAGTTACTCTGGCTTTTCGGCGGCCGCTGTATCTGTATGTCGGTTCGAAATTTAGAAGTTTGGCCCAACTTCTTTCTGGAAAACGTAGTGCGGCGCGGATAGTGTTCGGGTTGGGGTAACTGTACAAGGATTGAAGATGGGCTGAATCTGCATAAAGAAGACAAACTGTTAGTTTGGTTCAGGAGTAGGTAACCGAAATAAAACAAAGCATGCCAACAAACCGAAGTAATTATACCAGGTTCTCCTTTATTTCTGTTTATACTTCGGCTATGGATCTAGGCTTGCTGGTCTTCAAAATTGCCAGACACCCAGAAAAAGTCATCATTATTCAAGTCTTTGTCCGGTGTGTCTTTTATTATTTTTTCTCGGCGGCGGCGCATTCTAAGATAGTAAACCCAGCCGTCTTCTTTTGACCCTATGGAGTATTGATGGAACAGTTCGTCTAAGCTAAGGTTAATGCCAGCACGGCGGTTTAGCTCGGCTATGCCCATTATTATGCGGTATGAGTTGGTGGAAAGCTAGGTTGGGCATATTCTCGTTTGCCTAAGGAATTCACAAATTAAGGATTGGACTGGAAATCTTAGTCCGGTTTCTATTATTGATAAAAGGGTAAAGGGTATAAAGCCCTGGTTTCCCCAAGGTATAACATCTTTTTTGGCTAAGGTTAGGTGGACATCGTCAGGGATGTTATAATCCCTTCGGAATTCGGCCATGCCACCTGGTGTTTCTACTAAAAACCTATATTTACCCATTTACTCCTAAGTTATGTATAAATAATGCTTGGTGCTAGCTCGGTCGGAAAATATTGCTGTGTAGCTCGGTTGAGCAATCAAAAGGAGTGCCTGGGCAACCTAAGTTTGCAAAGTGAAAAAACAAAAGTGTTAAGCACAGATCTGTAGACCATGCTACAAAGTAAAAACAGGTTAAGTCTAGCTTCGGCTTTGTGAAATGCTACAGGTCCTATCTCGGTTTCAGCAAGGTGCTTGGTAGCTCGGTTGAGGCGAGTGATTTGTTAGATCGGTTGAAATTCTAGGGGCAGCTTTCTTAGTTCGGTCTGAACTAAGAGTGTTGGTTTAGCCCCAAGATAGTTCGGTCGGAATTAAGGCCTTCAAACACACTAAGTGCAGACTTAGTTCGGTTTGTTATCTCGGCTAAGATAAATCAAAAGATGGTTTTTTGACTACTGGTACAAGTGTTGGTTCGGTTGAATGGTCTGGCTGGACTTACACATAGCATAAACAGTATCCTAGTCCGGTTGCATTATGATTTTGGATCGAAAACCAGTGTTCTACAGGGTATTACATGTATTCGAGTGTTCTATTGCTAAGTTTTTCCAGAAACATACAAGTCGTAGAAGAAAAGAGTGGTTTGAAACACACAAAACAAGATACAGTGGATTGAACAAATACGAAAACAAGAAAAATAAAACAGATTTATAATGCTTACCTGATGAAGATCGAATAGCCTAGAGGATGGGAGCACACGGCAGCAGCAAAACACGAGCTTCACAGTTGCAAGGTTGAAGGACAGTGGAGGTTAGAAGAGAGAAAGAAGGAGATCAGTAGTGATTCAAAATAGCAAGGGTTTGTTTTGTGTAAATGAAAGGACGAAAAGGCGGGAACTGTTCAAAAAACGTGAGGTACGAGGGCGGCGTGATAGCTGCCTTCAGCCAATAAGAGCATGCCACATGTCCATGAAATAAGAAGCGTTTCAGTTGCTGTGATTGAAGAGACGTTTTGACCGGACAGGTACAATCCGGTGTGAATTTAGCTCGGCTGGAAAGGCTAAGATGGTTTTTTAGCCCGGCTAGAAAGGCTAAAAGGGTTTTTTACTCGGCTGGAAAGGCTAAATGATTTTAGCTCGGTTGGAATTCTGAAATTTTTTAGCTCGGCTGGCAACAGGTAATCCCTTTCATGCTACGCAGATGGAATTAAGGGGCAATTGAGAGGGTCATTTATACTTATAAATTGGGCCGAGCTGGGTAATGGGCCGTTACGGGCCACGTTACGAAGGACTGGGTAAAAAGGCCATGAAGTTACTCCGGCCCAAGAGAGGCCATGAAGTTACTTCGGCCCAAGAGAGGTGTAAAGTTACTCCGGCCCAAGAGAGGTATAAAGTTACTCTGGTCCGAAAGAATCTTGAGGTTACTCCGGTCTAAAGGAAGCTTTGAACATAGCTCGGTTGCCGTACTCAAAGTTAGCCCGGTCTTGGCTTATCGAGGTTATCTCAGCCAGAACCTTGCTGTTTCATATCTCGGTCTGATCACATCGTGGTTGGCACTAGGAGAAACCTGGGTAAGAGCAATGAATGGAAGAGCCGAACTAAAGTTAGCTCGATCTAGTCTGCGGCTTAGCATAGGCCATGCTTACCTCGGTCATAGTGGAATCCGACCATGGTAAAACCATCTCACTTGGTTTAAGCAGTGAGGAGGGTGTTGAAGGATAAGCATTATCTTTCAGGAGTATGAATCCTATGAGGACTCTACATGGAGGAGTAAGAGTCTTACTTAGATTGTACCACACGGAACCTATAAAAGCTCACAAATATCACCTATGGGGAGGTAACACAACTTTGATACACAGAGCTTTTTGTCTACTTGCCTATTTTGCTGACTTAGGCATCGGAGGGGTTTCCGGCACACACCCGCCGGCTAGCTCACGTTTGTGTTTTCAGGAAGTAAAGCGACGACGTTTGGAGAAGCGCAGACTTGATCAACAAGATTATACGAGAAGGTTTATTTCTTTCCCGTACAGTATCAATAAGAGCAATAACTTCTAATGCAAAATCATTAATTACTAGTTGAATTTTGGAGTACCATTTTTTAATATGTGTTTTTGATTGAGAAGATTTAATCTTTTTCTTTCATGATTAATGGAATGATTATATCGATTATCAAATAAAGGATTATCAGGGTTAGTATGTTCAGATTCATTGTCAGATTCTTCTGGAGAAATGGCATCATTGGCTTGAAAATTATTTAATTCTTTATTAATTTTTAGAACAGTAATTTCATCTTCTAATGATTTATCTTTATGTTGTAAATCTTTAATGAGATGTTTAATCTGGTTAATCTCTTGTTGTAAATATTAAAGAGTAATTTCTTTTTGTTTATTCTTTAATCTTTCTAAGGTTGTGGATAAACCAATAATTGGTTTGTCAGGTTTAATTTCTTATCAGTTAACAAAGATTTTAATTTAGCAGTATATTTTTGTTTTAATTCTGGATCTTCTAATCTACTAATTAATTCAATAAGAGCGGTTTCTTCTTGATTCTGTTTAATAAGAACAGTAATTTTTTTAACTGGTTTACAACAAATATTGTTACATCCTAATTCAATATTATTATCTGAATCATTACTAGGTGAATGGTAATCAGAAGGTGTATCCTGAGGATTACTAGAATTATTATCAGAATTACTAGCAGATTGGTTTAATTAGAAGATTTCAAATAATTGATTTTTTGATTCATTATTAATTTGGAGTTGATTAACTTTATCTTTTAATTTTTGTTTTTCTTTACATTTATTAGGATAATGCCATTTTTTACCACAATTATAGCAAGTAATATCTTTAGTATTTTTAGATTTTGGATGTGATTTCTAATAATATTTCTTTTTGGATTTAATATAAAATTTATCAGTTGATTTGGAAGGTGAATAATTCCTTCTATATTTAGTAGAATATTTTGAAGAAAACTTATGTTTATTGTATTTATGTGTTTTATGGCGAGAAGGTGCTATTGAAGGTAAACCATATTGTTCACAAAAATTATCTAATTCATATTTAGTTTTATGTTTATCTTTAGCAGCTTTATGACTAAACTTGAGATCAAAGCTAAACAATGTCTCTCTACCGGAGTATATCGGACTTCGCCACGCGTCGAATTGTAATTGGCTTATACAAAATATGTAGCCAACATTACCCCCCGCACTAATATACCCAATACTTGGTGATATTAGTGGATCAAGGTCTTTTATCCACGTCTTAGAACGTGCATGGGCTTTGCATTCTTCTAGAAATGCAACTGTCATTCATCATTTGCATTAAACTCTCTTTCAATCTTTTGAACACCCCCACCACCTTAGTACTCGAACAGACTGATACATTTTTTATGGCCGAATCAATTTTCTCCTCCATTGATCGAGCACATGAAGAGTCATCTGATGATGTTGTTCCTCATCGAAAGAACCTCCATGCATTAATTAGCCACCTTTACCCACCTTTCTATATTTAAGTCATGGAAGCCTTTGCAAACTATCAACCCTTGGACTACGAATACATTGCCCTTAATCCTTTCATTTAGAAAGTTACAAATATGGACATGGGAAGTTCTTCTTCTGATTCACCCTCGGACTACGAACAAACTGCCCTTAATCCTTTGATTCAGAAAGTTGCAAATATGGACATGGGAAGTTCTTCTTCACAATCCTCTGCATTGGATAAGGTTGTGGCTTCTTCTTCCTCTGGGGCTTCTGACTGGGCAAGCTGGTCAGAACCTGAGGCCTGTGATTTAAGAGAGCGAATTAACCATCACTTTGTCGAGTTCACTGATCCTTTAGAATTCCCTTCCTATGCGTGAAGCTCGGTGGTTTACCCTTACGTGCCCATCGACCGATGACGCAGTTTGGAGGACAATCTGTTTGTAGCATAGTACACATCCCCCATGTCTACAAAGATAGTGCACGCTACCCGACGCCCAAAAGAGGCACAATGGTACAATCCATTGTTCTTAGCCCAGAAGGTGAAGTTTTGCTCTTCTGACTGGCTCGATTATATTAATGCCCTTGTTTCTTCTGCCCTTGCTCCTTCTCCTAAAGTGGAAGCTTCCATACCTCCTCATCCGCCAAATCCTTGCTGGACAGAGAGACTGAGGCTTGCCCTCTCTGCGAATAAGGTCTTTCCTCCTTACAAGCCTCCACCTTCTCCTACTCCAACTGAGCGGAAGCAAGCCCAACTTCTGCTTGCAGCCTTTTCTTACTTGCCTTTCAATGTTCTTGAGGACGACATCCCTCTCAAGAACCTTCGATGGGCTTGTGACATTCTGACTCGGGGTCACGTCCTCAACCCCCTCGCCCAAGCAGAGCTTCACATGTTTTTAGACCAACTCCCATTGTTTCTTCACTGGTATCGAACTTCTGTGGCCACCACTCAATCTTTGGACCAACTCTCATCCCTTCGAGTTCATGCCCAGTACAAAGCAGTGAACCTCATTGAAGAATTCGATAACTTCAAGAATAAAGATTCTGCGTACTGGGATGACTTGGATATGGACGAGCTGGAACAGGGATTGAAAGGAACATCGTTCGAAATAAAAAGGCTGAAGAGCTCTTTTATCAAGTGAGAGCACATCAACTTCAGCAGCCAATTTTGGAAGAAATAGAGAATAGAATAAAGAAAGAATAGAAATTCATTGACCATAGCTGAACCAAATTCCATGATCTTGTTATTTATTCTATTCCTTACTTTTATGAGCTCGAATTTGTACCCAAAGAGGGCCATTCGATGTAATTGTTTTTGCTTTAATACAACTAAGTTGTTTGGCATTGTTTGATTTTGTCTCCGTTTGTCTTTAAAAGCAAATTTAGGGCTTCGAACTGAACAATCTTATCCTTCGAATCCGGATTCAATCGTTTTAAATGAAACACTAAAAAACCAACATGAACTTTTCCAATTTATGGATTATAGTTGACAGTTTTTGCTAATTTTTATTTAGAATCAGTGCTTCGAATTTAACAATCTTGTCCCTTAAAGCTTGTTTTAATCATAACCAAAATATGATCATGGTTAATACGATCAATCAGTTTTAAATTGACCATTTTTGTTTCGAACAACAGTCCATACTTTCAAAAATATGGAAGCCTTTTTTGAGGGCTACACTGTTTTAGTCCGAAAAGACAATCCTTTCGGTATATATAAACCAACTATTGGTTTTGATGTTTCGAACACCAATTCCCATCCTTATGGGGTATCAAGTTTTGCTTCGAAGGACATTACTCTCATTAAAAAGCCTAAAACAGGTTTTTAATCCCTTTGAAGTAAACAAATACTTGTGTATTCATACATCTTTAGGTATGGAATGTGCTTCGAAGGCGGCTTCTCAGTTTCGAAGCCGTTGTTATTTGACTTTTGGCACCAAAATCTGGTTTCGAAGCCAAATATTTTATTCCGAAGCTGACATCAACATCTGGGATGTGTTTTTCCCTCCAAAAGTATCAATATTGAAGGAAACTCTTCGTATCTGTACCTTTAGTACTTTACGAATTACACGATATATTTTCAAGACACAAAGGTTCTTTAAAACCCTTTTATTTCGTGTTCTGAAATCACTCGCTCGCTTAACACATAAACCCTTCTCCTTTATTAACTCTCTCTTCCTCGCTGCTTGCTACCAATGGATTCTTCTTCTCTGAAAGTACTTGCTGGCGATCGTATAAGCCCAACCATGGCTTTGAAAAGATGTATCGATAAAGAAATCGCCAAGTTAACAACTGATAGGTCAAGTGCCATAGATGGATGCCTCTTTGTTCCTCGTCACAGCCACAAACAAGAATATGTCCTCGGTCCTATCTTTCGAGAAGCTCTGGCTCAACTTCTAGCTTTATACCCTTGCTTGGAGGACCACTTTCTTCTCTACAAAGGAGGGCTCGACTGGGAAAATTGAAGAATGACCCGACCTCACCGTTGCTAGCCGACATTGAGAGCTGAATGAGAGGAATGGTATGAGAGAGTTATGCCTGCAAGAGAAGATGACTTGCAAGAGCTTTGTATTCTCGATGCCCTTCGTCTTTCCAAGTTTAGCATTCCTGAAGACCCTTTTTTTATTCCCTCTTTGCTTTTGGAACATGGCTTTTAATTTTTTTCAGTTTCGGTGTGGCATGATGGCCCCCACCGTTCTTGATATCTGCCATCTCCTAGGGCTTTCACCCCTTGGTACTCTTTTTACACCCGGCTATCCGGATCTTCTTGTGAAGTTTCCCTTTCCACCCTTAAATTCCTCCTATAGTGACTTTGTAAAGGCTGAAAACAAAAGGGTAGGCCCCGTGAGAGATGGAGAACTTTTTTCCTTTATTTTATACTGGCTGTGTAAGTTTCTCTTTTATACATCATCTTAAAGGATTATGCCTGAATTCGCCCCACTTGTGAAGGCACTTGTTTTGAAAAAACGCATAGCCCTGGCTCCTTACCTCTTAGGCCATGTTTATAGAGCATGTTCTCAATTTTGTGAGAAACCTCTTGATGTTTACCAAGGGGGTCCCCTTTGGGTGCTCCAACTCTGGCTCTTTGCTTACTTCACTGATTTGCATCCTAAATGCTTAAAATTCCTTATTTAGGACCCTGGCACTTATGGGGAGAAATATGCCAGAATTATTCTTTATCCTGCTTCCTTTGCCTACTACCTCACTTTTTTTCACCAACTTCCTATTTTTTCATCTGCCACCTTCTTTTGCCCCTTTGATGTTAACAAAGGACCTACTTGGCTGTAAACATTCTTAGCTGATAAAGAGTGCTCCACCCCACCCTACAAAGACATGTGGGCTTCTATTTTGCTGCCGAGGGAGCTGTTCATTGGCACTTTAAACCCTCGAGCTTATAAGTGTTTAGCTGAGGTGTACTGCCCTTCTCAATTTGCCAGGCAATTTGGGTTAACTCAGGGGATTCCCATTCCACTTTGCAGCCTCTCGAATGTCCATTTTATAGCCAGAGACCTGAGAATACCCAAATCAAAACTAGAAGAGGCAACATTTAAACGTTAAAAGAATTGGGTGAGTTCAAATTTGTCCCCTTCCTTCCCTCTGGCTTGGCTCTGAAAAGATTTCAAAACTAGTGGACAGCCAATATGGAAATGCGCTTATCCGTACACCCTCATGATTTACTAACAGGGTTAGGAGTGCCTTCGAAAGCTAAATTAACAACAGTTGAGAACATTCCCTCTCTTTCCACAGCTGCCAAAACTACTCCTGCAGCCTCACCCTCTCCTGCTAGAGTTACCAGAGCTGCTTCAAAAAGGGGTAAGTATTTTCAGGCTTCTTTTTCCTTAGACTCTTTTGTTTGTTTCCTTTACATTCATATCTCTTGGTTCAGGGTCTCCACAAGAAGAGTCTCCTAAAAGAGCTGAAACTTTAGCTACTCTCAAAGACAAACAACAACAGAAAAAGAAAAGGAAGCTAATACTCCTTATTGAAGAATCTGAATCTCAGACTGAAGAGAAAGAGATGGAGGAAGAGCAAGAAATACCATTACAGAGAACAAAGAGGAAAAAGATGATTGTCTCTCCTTCTAACTTGGTCGAAGACCCTTTTCATGAGACAACTACCAAAACAGCAGAAAAGGAACTTACCCCTGAAAGGTTTGAATCCCAGATTGAAGAGAGGGAGACTGAGAAAGAACAGGAAATACCATTACCAAGAAGAAAGAGAAAGAAGGTGACAGTTTCTCCTTCTGATTTGGTCAAAGACCCCAACCATGAGGCGGCTGCCAAAGTAGTAGATGAGGAATATTCCAGAGAAATAATTGTTTTTCAAAGAGCTAAGAAGAGACGGCAGCAGCAATTCTTAAGAGATGAAGCAGCTGCTGCTGATGCAATCCAAAGGGAAACTGCAAGAAAGCAACATATTGATGAGTACTATTCCCTTCGTAGCTCTCCCATTGTTGCTATCACTTTTGAAACAAGTAACTTCTTTCATGCCTCTGCTGTTTTTCCTTGTCAAATTTTTGGTATTGAGACTTGACATTACTTTGTACTTCTTCTTTTGCAGCAACAACAACTGAGCCTATTCTTCCAATAAGGACTCCCTCAGTTTCAGTTGAAGTTGATCAATTGCAAAATTATCCAATACAAATAATCAATATTCTATATACTTCTTTATATTCCTCAATTATCCAATACAAATAATCAATATTCTACCTTTTCTACTAATTATACTACCATAATACAAATAATTAATATTCCACCTTTTCTACCAATTATACTACCATGAAACACTACGTGACCGTATTTCCGGACTATCGAATTATCACCCATGCATATAAGACCTCGTTTGTGAATATTTTATTTTTGTAATTTTTGATTTTTTTTGGGCTAAAATATAAGGTAAAAAAATTGATATACTTATGATATTTTTTTACATCATCTTTGGTCATACCGGGCATGTCGAATCTCATCTTGTACTCTCCCTCTCCTTCCTTTATCTCCCATGGAGTCCTTCCCCTGCTGTACTCGCCGGTCTCAGTTAATGTCGGCGACGGCCACCCGTTGGTGTAGACAAAAGGGTCTTCCATCATCCTCTCCATGGTTTCCATCATTTGTTGCACTGTCCTTGCTGTTGGAAATCTATCCCACAACCCTGCATATAATGAAGGGTCAAAGGATCTATTTTTAATATTCTTTTTAGACTTTCAATCCTTACATAGTGTTGCAAGATTTGTTCTTTGTCCACCTAAAAAGTAGGGAAAATTTTGAAAAAAAATCCAGATAAACCCTACGAATTTTGTGGCAGATGAACACTACATGGACATCTCTAATCCTTACTAAAATTCAAATTTGAATAAAAAGTCATTTGATTCCATAAATTTGAGTCCACTTTTCAAAAAATTAAATTTTTTATTTTTTTATATATTTTTTTAATAAATTTTTTTTAATATTTTACACAATTTTTTTATTTTTTAAATATTATCTAATTTAAATATACTTAAAAATATAATATTTGTAATAAAAAAAAACTAAAAAAATTTATCAAATACAAAAAATATAAAAATTTATACATTTTTATATTTTGTTATATTTAAAGATTTTTGTATATATTTTTTAATTTTAAGTATATTAAACTTAAGTGAATTAAAATATTTAAAAAAATTTAAAAATAAAAATAAATTTTTTTTAAAACTAGTTCTTTTATTAGTTTTCATGAAACTTCAAGATCTTTGATTAGTTTTCATGAATGTACAATTCGATTATAGTTCTTTTACTTTCCGTTGTACGTTATCAGCTATGGTATCCTGTGGATTATTTCTCGCAGAAGTAATGTTAGAATCCATTGACAAGCTTAGGTTCTCTAGAGAGGCCCTATGGTAAATAAAACCTAGACATGCCCTAGGTTACAACAGTTCTAAATAATTTGTCTTTCCTATCGATGAAGAGGATTTGAACCCATTGCTAAAAAGGACCACAATCTAGCACCTCGCTTAAGCAAAATATCTAAATCCAAGCACATCATCATCATAAATTCTATAATTTAAAAACTCTATCTTAAGCATGAGTAACATCAGTTTTAGGACGTTTTTAAGCTCAGTTTTGGATCACCCTAGTCTATTTCATTTCATTATTATGAATCAACTCCAATTGTACGGAAAACACAGTGAAAACTAATATGGAATACTTTCATTTCAGTATGGCATGAAATGCAAACTAAAGCACCAACTCAAAGCCATTCGGTTGGAATGAGAACCCATATTATTCCAGAAAACCGTCATTTCTCCCTAGACCACTCACCACTTTTCCCACCAGTTTTGCATTCAAGCCTTACATCTGTAATCTGAATATCCTTTGAAGCAGCCTTGCACATATCATATACTGTCAGACCTGCAACAGTCACTGCTGTCATAGCTTCCATTTCCACACCAGTTTTCCCTGTTGAAGCCGCTTCCCCTTCTATATCAACACTAAAATCAATCGGATTCAATTTCAGATCAACACGAACATGAGTCAAGATGATGTTGTGGCATAGTGGGATGAGATTGCTTGTATGCTTCGCTCCACTTATTCCGGCAATTCTCGCCACACTAAGGACATCTCCCTTGGCCATCTGATTGGCTGAGACCAAATCAAACACCTTCCTTCCCAGAATAACTTTGCAACTGGCAACAGCAACTCTCTTGCTAATTTCTTTGGGAGAGACATCCACCATTTCGGCTTCACCTTTGCCGCCAATATGGGTCAAGCCCGTTTCATTTTCTGCAATTTTAGGGGATACAGACAGAGAATCTTGAACCATGCGCTCATTATTACTAGAACCGGCAAGAGTAGCTGGAGGAGGTTCACCAAATACAGATTCCATTTCCTGCAACCAAGAAGAGCTTATGGCTTCACAATCTGAAAATCAGGCCAAGAAGACCTTATGTGTCATTAAATGCATACATAGCTTCAAATCAAACACACCACCAATATGTTACTAATGGAAACTTAATAAATCAGATTGGCATAATAAATCAATGAACGCACCACTAATTTAATCAAAATTCTTCCAGCACCTCTTTGTTCTATTACTAATGGAAACTTTATAAATCAGTTTGGCATAATAAATCAATGAATGTACCACTAATTTAATCAAAATTCTTCCAGCGCCTCTTTGTTCTATTACTAATGGAAACTTTATAAATCAGTTTGGCATAATGAATCAATGAATGTACCACTAATTAAATCAAAATTCTTCCAACACCTCTTTGTTCTATGATGCTGTGCAACGGGACAAGTAACAATGCAACAGAATACGAGCGGACCCAACTTAATCTAAAATCAATTGTATCCACAAAACCCAGATCAAATTGAATTATAAGCTGAACAGATAACAGTGTATGATACCTTATTGAGCTCTGCAATGGCACTCGAAACATCATAGCTGCTGTTACTGCTAAAAAACCTTCTCGATGGAGGCAACGTCAAAGCAACTCGACGAAGAAACATGGTGGGGCAGAGGTCAGATTGGGTTGGGAAAACACTCCAGACTAGATAGAATCACATTCAATCACATAGGTGAAGCATACAAGTCCACATGAAAACCAATTCTCAGTGAGGCATATTTACAAACATCTACAGTTCATTCGATTGGTCGAAAATCAAAGCACTAGCTACTGAAGAAAGAATTGGGAAATGGGTGTTTTAATGCTGACCGAACTTCACAATTTAGATTCAAATGTATCTATAAAACCCAGATCAAATTGAATTATAGTATATGATACCTTATTGAGCTCTCTGTAATGGCACTTGTGTCGACTCGGAGAAGAGGTCAGATTGAGTTGGGAAAACAGTTCACACCTACATAGAATCGCATGAAATCAAATGGACGAAGCATACAAAGTCCGCATGAAAAGAAATTCTCAGTGAGGCATATTTATAAACAGGTATTGTTCATTCCATTGGTCGAAAATCCAAAGCAGTTGGGTAATGAGGAAAGAAATGGAAATGAGAGTTTTGAGGTTTAACGAAGTTGCGAACCTTGATAAAGGGAATGCTCAGTGATCTCTTGATTGATTTTCAAGATTCGGATCGATTTCTGTCAACGAAGACAATTACGATCCTCTCTGTGTTTTGTTTCACAGTGAACCTGAGCAGCCCGTTTTGAATTCAAAAATGCTATCCAAATTTGATTTGAAGTTCAAATTCATATAACTTCTAATTCATTATTTGTTTTTTTATCGGTAATTAGGTAATTATATAAATAAAAATAATAATTAATGTGTTTACTTTCAATGTTCTGAATTTAATTTTTTAAAAATTGATTTTTTTTTTTATTTTTTGATTTTTAGTAAATATTTTTAAAATTTTAATTATTTTTTTTACTTTTATTGATGCATCTAAATAATAAAATATTTATGAAAAAAATTTGTAAAAATTAATAAACACACAAAAATATGAAAAATATATTAAATTTTCGTATTTTTTGGTATTAGTAAATTTTTTAAAGATTTTTTTTCCACAAATATTATATTTTTTAAGTGTATTTATATTAGGTGTGTCTACGAATTAAAAAATTACTTAAAATATTAAAAAAAATCATTGAAAACATTAAAATACAAAAAATAACAAAATAGAATTTTCTGAAAATTATTTTTTAAAAACTAAAACAAGTTGAATATTATCATTTTTTTTTATGTTGAGACGTATATTTTACTTTGTTTATTTTTTTATACAAAAATGCTTGGGACCCCATGACCCCCCAAAATGATGTAAATCAATTACCTGTTTTTGTTTTTGTTTTTCTTTCACAAATGAGTGGGAATTGTGTCAAAACCGTTGGACTTAATGCATTTTATTTAAATTTAAAGTGAGGTTAGTGTAAATTACTTACAAAAAAAATTATTTAGTTATAACTTTTTTATAATATCAAAAAAATAAAAAAATAAACAATAAATCTTACTTTTTATTTCACTTATTTTGCTTTCTTAATTATTCAAACATGATAGTAAAAAAAATATAAATATTTATTTTCTTTTCTCGTCTTAAACATCATAATTATTTCTAACCATTGGATAACAATGGAATATAATTTCCAGGAGATAATATAATAATGGCATTTTTTTTTTTGCATAAAGAATATCAAATATTTTTATAATATCTAATGTCCCTCAACATCAATCTAGAGAAAATTTCTCTGGACTTCCTAAAAAAATTCTCTCCAGAATTTCTCTGAACTTCACACTCTCCAGAGAAATTCTAGACTTCCTAAAGAATTTCTCTCTAAAGAAATTTTGAAAATTTCTTCCTAGAGAATTTCTTCCCCCAAAAAAAAAACCCTCAACATTAACAAGAGAAAGAACCTCAAAATAGTTACTAATTTTTATTTTATTTTATTTATAAAAAAAATCAAAAAACAAGTTCTAATATATGAACCAAACATTTTTGTTCACAAATTTCTCTATATTTGTTCACAATTTCTCTGTATTTGTTGCATAAAGGATATCAAATATTTTCAAAATATCTAATGTCCCTCAACATCAATCTAGAGAAAATTTATCTGGACTTCCTAGAAAAATTCTCTCCAGAATTTCTCTAAATTTCACACTCTCCAGAGAAATTCTAGACTTCCTAAAGAATTTCTCTCTAAAGAAATTTTGAAAATTTCTTCCCAAAAAAAAGCCCTCAACATTAACAAGAGAAAGAACCTCAAAATAGCTACTAATTTTTATTTTATTTTATTTTTAAAAAAATCAAAAAACAAGTTCTAATATATGAACCAAACAATTTTGTTCACAAATTTCTCTGTATTTGTTCACAATTTTAAACCAGAGAAAATTGATTTAACCAAACCAGAGAAATTTTAGCACAATGATTTTAAAGTAGAGAAAATTATTTTAATCAAACCACAGAAATTTTAACACAATGATGTTTGGCAATGGATTTTTGGCTAAAAAAACATAAAAGATAAAATTGGCTATATAAGCCAATAAGACAAAAATGTTACATCAAAATCATAATCATTACACTTTTTCTCTCACAAAAGTCAAAAAAGATAAAAACAAAAACCAAACGAGGCTAAAATAGCCAGGTTATTTTAGCTCTTCCCAAACGAAGACTGATTTTAAACCAGAGAAAATTGTTTTAACTAAAATAGAGAAATTTTAACAAAATCAGATAAATTTTAGCACAAATTTCTCTGTGTTTGTTCACAATTTTAAATTAGAGAAAATTGTTTTAACCAAACTAGAGAATTTTTTCCAAATTTGCATCTTTCGAATTTTACAAGTATTTTTAGGCATTTTTTACTGTAATAATCTCCATATTGCATAAAGGTTCATCAGCTAACAAGTAAAATAAATCAAAATCCAAAGCCGAAATGAAACAAACTCTCATCGAAATTGACAAAAACAACAACAATAATATGAAATTGGAGTTGCTTTGCTCTACGATACTTACTGTGTGGACCATGACTTCGAGTCATGTTGCGGATTTCAAAGGACTGAAGCTACCATCTCCAACGAGAGCCACTATTCTCACCGGAGGAGAATTCAAGTCCATCGCCAAACAACTGTCTTTGCTCTTCTCCAAAACCGAACAAGGAACAAGTTCTCTGCTGGGGAAAATGAACAGAAAAAGTATGTATATATATGCGTGTAGAGAGAGGGGGGTGTGGAAGTTGGCGTGGAGAAATGTGAAGCTAAATCAAGATTGGATGGGTAAGATATATGAGGTTGGGTGAGAGATCTTAGCCATCACAAAATAATTTTGTGGACCTCTCCCATTATTAAAAATGGGAGAATGACTTTAGACTAATTTTCTCTATAATATATAAATGTAACATGTTTTTTGTTTTTACATTTTTATTTTAAAATAAAAACATAAAAAAGAAATATTTGATAAGTTGTCAAGGGGATCACAAAGGATTAATTTGGAAAGTTGGTTATAAGTCAATTTTTTATCCTATTTTGAATCATATCATTTCTCTACTTTTTTTATATATATATTTTTTAAAAAGTTAAAAAATTTAAAAAACTAACTTTTAATCAATTTTCTAGAAGTAGAAGTAGTGGCCAAAGGTAGAGGTGGCCTGGATACGGAGAGGGAGAAGGAGAGGGAGAGGGAAAGGGAGAGAGAGGCACTAATGCAAAAATTATCTAAAAATCTAATGAAAATTCTTATTTTTTAATTTCTCAAACATATGTTTGTTTACAATTTTTAATATTTTAAAATAAAAAAATATAAAAAAAGAAGATAAATTACACGTGTTAAGGTTTGAAGATTTAAGAGCGATGGGATGGGAACAGAGTTTCTTTCTCTAAGAAGGCTTCAGGCGGGGCTTGTGCTTCTCTCTCTAGGGAGATTTCCGATAGTGCTCCAATGATACTTTAGCAACTCCTTTTACACTTCTAAAGGGTAAATCTACACTCAGAGAATATAAATCTATAATTTTAGAGTGTAAATCTAAACTTTTTATGGCTGAAATAAAAGTTTGGGAGTTGTTTCCTCTAGTTTCGACATAGATTTTTTAATTCTCTACCCTTTCAATGATTTCGTCCTCTCTTAAGACTTCTCTCATACCATTGTGGGTGTACCTCATTCTCAAATCTAACTTCCAACGGTATCCGAAGTACGGTAGGGGCAAAGTTGGATAGCGACAATGGAGATGGCGAACTTTCAAGCAGATCTTACTTAGTTTGATGCAAATCTTATTTTTCAGATCACTTGTTTGAGAAGATCAATAATTTTCCCTAGATTCAATAATTTTCCCTAGATCGTAGCTGGTCTTTTTGACGAATTTGTTGTTTTTTTGCTATTTTTTTCCTTTTGTTGTATAGTTTGTATTGTCCTTTGAGATCATATTTTGTATATTGTTGATTTTAATATAAATGTTTTCCATGTTCTCAGAAAAAAAAAAAAAAAAAAAAAAAAAGGTTTGAAGTTTGATGTATGAAAAAAATAATAGGCACTATTTTTACATTGAAATAGATATTTTACCATTGTTTATTCTTGTTTCCATAAACCACTTGTATTAGTTCAAGTCACTTCAACTATACTAAAGAGAAGTTAATATAATTAGGTCAAAATTATGAGATTTGCGATATTTTTCTAAATCTCATAGGTGGTCATTATAATTTACCCAAACAAATACTATTTAAAAATAAAAATAAAATAAATCAAGTGATGAACCATTTCCCCCCTTCTTTTTTCTTTTTTTCACATTCCATTTTCAGAATTTAATACAAGCCTAGGCATTACAGAAATTGACCTATCTCCAAATACTCTTAATTTTCACGCATACTACTTACTGAGGATTTATTTGGTGCTGATGACTACATTTTTTGTATTGACATCACTAAATTAAAAAAACTTAAATAATACTAAGACTATATTTGGATCATCAATTTTGGTAAAAATTTGACCAAAAAAAAAAAGGCTTGTATTTTATTTATATTTCCCTCACATTTCCTTTTCCTTTTCAAATCCCTACTCACATATGTGATCCAAACACAACCTAAGGGCATAGCTATAACTCCATAAACCACTTCCAGCTCCAACAAGTGCTTGTACTTCTTGAAAGAGTGAAAATAGTTGGGACCTGTTACATGCACACAAAACCAATTATTTCATATTATTTGCAAAGAATTTATTATTATTGATATTATTAATTTAAAATTTAAAAAATCAGACATACCTGAGGCCATGAGATGTATTTTTTCTTGACAGTCGATTTAAATCCTCTCATGTTGAACAAAACCTATAAGAAAATATATAACCTCTAATTTTTCTACCTTTCACTAAACCAGACACTGCTTTCTTTATTGAACCGATACAAGTTCATACCTAAAAAGTTTAGGAATTACCTACAAAAACAAAACCAAAACCAAAAACAAAAACAAGAATTAGTAAATTCTAAGGTTGTATCGCAACACATTTTTATTGACTTGACTTCTGCAAAAGGTACCGATGCTGAATTCTGGATGAAACATAAAGGCAGATATATACTTTGGATGATTACATCTATCCAGATATGAAAGAATCCTATCACTGTGTTAAATGCACCAGAAGCATTTAAGTGTGTGATGTCAGTCTTGTAGCATTTCAAAAGCAATTATGATGCTGAATATAGGATGGAATACGAAAACAAACAAATAATATGATTTTACAAGTTCAAATTTGGACATCAGCTCTATAATAGAGTCAACTTAAAAAAGAAGTCAATCAAACTCTTTTGAAGTTTGTAGAAAACAAATGGTGTGCCTACATCAAATTGAGGCATGAGGTCTACACCTTTTCTTGCAAGTTGCAAGCATTTGATTAGAATAAAAATTTGTAATAAAAAGCAAAAATTGGAATTTTAATTATAAAGGAATCCTTAGCATGGACAAATTTAAATTTTCTTGTGTTTTTTGCAAGAAAATAAAGATTAGTTACCATGCTAATATGGGTTATATGGAGAAATTAGTTTTCTTATAGTTTCCACCACTTTCACACTAAACAAACTCATAAAAAGTAACATTTTTTTCTCTTTCCTGCATTTTCCACTACTTTCATCCTAATCAAACTAACGGCTTAAGGGAACCTAGAAACAGTTTTTGAATTTTGAATTGCCACTTCAAGAACATAAATCTTTGATGTAGTTGATAACAGGCCAAATATTAGCGAAATAATAAAAACTCAGAAGCAGAAAATGGATCTTACTCATTTGACATAAGACTTTTGGCTTCTCTCACAGCTGAACTTACAGCATAAAGCGTCATTTTTTTAACCTGTAGAGAGAGTAAAATCGGCACAGGTTCAGAAATAGTGCAACTATCCAATATCCACAGCTTATCTGAAAGTCATTTCTCAGTTATGTCCATTTGACATAAATCTGCTAACCTCTTTTTCATTTGAAGTATAAATAAGGCACATTCATACAAGCGTATCTGTATAGTAAAAAAAAACTCTTCTTTTTATTCCCTTATCTGAAATGTACCTGTTGCCAATTGTAAATTAAAGCATTTGGCTCAAGTGAAGGAGTGCATCTAGCATATTATGTGATCAATGAATACCAACAAGACCATGAAGAGAACCTTTCTTGCGAACCACTCCAAATCTCCATCATTAGCTTTAATTCAAGATATGCAACATAAATTCAAAGTTGACATTCTCATTTTACAAGAAAAAACCAGGAGGAGAATGATGGAAGACAGGATTTGGTTTATTTCCCGTAGCATCTTGGCACTCATTTAATTTGCAATATCATAATCTTAAAGTTTTTCCATTTTACTATCTAGAAAGCTACACTTCTAATAGAACTCAAAACTTAAAACACCAGACAACGGGATTTCATGTTAAGATTGACACGAACCCAACACAAGCAAACAATGTTAATTGACAAGATATAATATCATGGTTGAACTGTGTTGATCTGCATCTATTCTTTATATCATAGGAAAATCTAATCTGTTGGCACACATGGCAAATGTACTGAAAGGGAGTATGTAAGCAAAGAGGTACCTCAAGCTTATCTTCCTTGGCTCTATGGTGTTTTGGGAGCATGCGGAACTCTTCAGTTAACCGAACACATTCTTCAACATTTTCAGGCGATACAAAGTCAAGGGCCACCTTAATACAGGACTGGAATAATAAAACAAAATAGAATCAACAACCAGATAATGAACTTGCAGATAGAAGATCCCAAACAAATTTACATGAATAAAAATAATGCTAATTAGAGAGCCATCAGATCCCAATAAAAGGAATGCCCTCATTGCTGGTGGCAGTTCACTGCGGCCCTAAGCAATTCCTATTACATATATATGTTTATATACATAGAAGAATTACCCAGCTTGCTTAACCAACTAGAAAGAGTATAAAGCCCTAATCTTATATGTTAATCAGACATACAAGAACAAAAATTGTTTCAGAAACACACAATATTTGAATGTCAAGCAGGAAAATAAGCATGTCAGATAAGTAAGATTTCATGGAAATCTAATAACTTATATGCCAATTATTTATTTATTTATTTTTAGTTGGTGGAGTCAATTACCTGTCTATTTCTCACTTGATGAGGACATCCAGCTGGAATGAAAACAGCCTCGCCAAGATATTGCTCAAATGTCCAGGGTTCAACATCTGGCATAGAACATCAAGCATTATTGTACCGCAACAGTGTGTTACTACTTCAAACACTGTCCAGACAAGCATAGAAGAGTTCCTTACTGAATTCTGCTTTCAGTTGTTTCTTATGCTTTTCATTTAAGAAAAGGGTCTGATCATGAATAGGATGAACAACCTGAAAGCACCATAGGAAAGAAATTAGTCTGAGTCAGAACAAATATACTATGAATGACAAGCAAATGATACTCACAGAATTTACAGGAAGATTATTTATGTGGCGAAATTCTTTCTTGTGCTTTTGTAGGTATTCCATTAACTTCGGAACATCCTGCCTGCGAAAGATGTCCCAAACAGCACCTCCATGAACAACCTTTGACTTGTCATTACTTTGGAGTTCTCCTTCAATTGGTTCAAGGTTTGACTTCCTTGACCCTGGATCAATAACTCCATCATCACCTGCAAAAGAAATCCTCAAACCATCTTTCCCATTGGTAAGCCTCCTTGCCACTACATTGCTAAAAGAACGGATAGATTCTTGATTGGACGTATCTCTCTCAGCGGCAAGTTTGTTTTCAGCTTCAAGTCCATTTGCTGAATGTAAATCTTCAATGCAAGGAAAATTGGAGGTCAGGCCAATCTCATTTCGGGAGGAAAATTTTTTCCAATCCAAATCCCTACAATTGGAACTACTGAAACTTTCCTTTTTGGCCTGATCTCCTCCCTGTTTTATTGACTTCCTGAACATCTTTTCAGTCAAAGATGAATCCCGGTCAACAAAGTCAATGTGTTCATCTAGTTGATCCTTTTCTGAGAGGCATTCAATTCCTTTCTTCACACTCCTATCCATGGATTCGTTTAGCTCACAATGATTGAATGTCCTTGATTTTGCAATGACACACTGAGTAGACACATCATCCTTGTCGGCTCCATTGCATGGTGAAGAGTTTTCCTTAAATTCAGCATGCTGCTTACCCAGTTGATGCATCGTGTCATCATTATTTTGTACTGGTGAATCAGTTTCATAAATGCCATTGCATCTTGAAGAGTTGGCTTGGTTAGTCTTGTGCTTTTGGCGATCAGGAATCTGAACCTTAGTACTCTGCAGATCAAGAAATTGCAGATAGTAAAATTTTCCCTACAATGAAGGCATTCAGGAAAAAGCACCAGACTGGGGAAAAGAATGTGCTTTTAGATTATTAAAAAAAGTACATATATCCACAGAAAGAAAACAGACCAACATATTGTTGTTTAACCAATTTCATTACCTTAACTTCTTGTCCCTCTATTAATATGCCATCAGCTGAAACAATTTCCCCCCTGTTTGCATGTTCAGCATCCACATTATCATGGGCACGATGTCTCTTCAGTGACTGTCTAATAAATCCAACCACCTCATCTTTTCCACCATAGAGTTCACGTAAGTCTTCAGCTGCATATTTCTTCCTCGTTTTTTTTATGCGTTCATGTTGCCAATTAGCAACCTTAACCTTAGCTACATGAGTTAGTACATTCACCTGAACCCAGATTAGGTAACAGTTAGGCACAAGATATCTTAAAAGTTAAAACACAGAAGAACAGTCTAAACAGAATTTATATAACATCAAAAATCAATATAACAACTTTCTATCGTTTAGCAAACATACCGCATCAGACATATCACAATGGAGTTTTGTAACTGAATCACCTCTACCAAGTTCATCAGAAAATCCATATGCAATATATGTTTTGGGTCCCAAGTCAGGTTTCAGCATTTCATGAGGAAGCTTTGTAGCAATGTTCAGAAGACCTGATTTTGGATCAGTATAGTCACTATAGGGCAGTGCTGCAATAAATTCAGCACCATGCCTGGGTAAGCGCTCTTCAAATAAAGCTGAGGGGGGCCAGTCCTTCAGCTTCAACATCTCTGGCCACCCACTCTTATGCATACGACCCTCCAAGTATCCCTTGAAGAATTGGTGAATATTAATCTCAACCTATACAACAATAAGAAATAAAAAAAATTAAGAAACTTGGAGTCTATTGCCTGAAGATTGAACATAATTCCCAACAAGAAGCACTCTGAACTTACAACAGTGAAAAACATTAAGAGGAACAGAGTGGGGAAAAGACTATATATATAAGTTGCAGCTACAGAAAACATCGTTACAATAGTTTTGTGATATGGTGTGTATTTCCCTTCAATACTTCACTTTGAAAGTCAGCTTACTGGCTAAGAAAATGAAGATATATGTCAACTACTATTCATGATGAAACAAAAAAGGATTTACAGCTGTGGCACAAGGTATAAAAGATTCCTTATTTTTTGGAAGTAAATTAAAAAAATAATAATAACAATATTGCCCCTGGCCCTCTGACAGGACAATGTTTGGGCTTTATACATGTGCCTGTATCCATGTATTAGAACAATCACAATATGGCCATTCAGACTCCTTTACATAAGGAAGTGGTAAACCCATTTGCAAGCCATTAAATATGATATCAGTTGTGAGATTGACAATCGAGGATTCAATGAGGAAGTGGACCATCCAAACAATATTTTCAAAAAATATAAAATAAAATGGCTGACCTCACACCAATCCAAGCAATCAAGGGCCTTTACGCTTGTTGTCTCCTCTTTGAACTTTCCCTTGGCACCTTTTTCTCTAAGAGCTCTCCACATAACCATTGGTTCCCAACTGAGGCCAGACGTCCTGTCAAGAACATTTCTAACAATCACAGGCTCACCTTTCCTCCAGTGTTGCTGGAAATGCTCAATGTCATGATCTTCCATGTTGACAGCATTTGGACAGTACAAAAAGTTATCATGACTGTTCTCTCTGAAAGCTGCCTGCCTGATTTTACAATCTATTTTGCTGTTCCCTTCGGAACCATTTGGTGGGCACAAAGAACATCTTTGAGAAAAATCAACCTTGAGCGACTGATAATTTCTAGTAAGGTCCTCTGCATTCTTAATCAACTTCATTACCCAGTTAGCTTTGAAATTGCGTCTCAGCACCAAATTTGCAGTTCCGCAACCTCCACGCTCTTTTGGCGGGCATGGAATTCCACCATCAGTATTAGCTCTCCAAACAGGAAATTGACAAGACACATAAGCTTCATTATTATTGGCAGCAGACACCATTTGTCTCTCCCGCCGGTATCTTTTTCTTTCTGCAATAGTTTGATGCTCCCCAACTGTCATTGGACCATGTTTTCTTTCTACAAATTGTTCGTGAGATGTTTCTGCTTCAGTACCTCCAGGTTGGCAACCCTCTCTTAGTTCATGACAACAAGTGAGACACAGATCATAGGAACAACCAGGGTTGGGGCAGCTTCGGTAAAAATCAACAATGGATGTACTGCAATTGTCGCTGTCAAATAAGGAGATGTGAACAGTTAACCATTTGACAACAAAAATGAAGATGTAGAAAAATTTATCTCTACTCCAATGATATGAAAACAGTAGTAGCTGCTTAATAACCAGACAGGATTATTTATCCATCTACTAGCAGGCTTGCCTGTCCTGCGCTAGAAATGACCATGGATGTACATTGCTGTTCATTGATGCTAGGAAAGGGCTGTTGGATGCACTATATTTGTAAACTAGTTTAGGGCTGCCAGTTATTTTTCATGGCAATTTTGGTGCTTGTAAGTAGGGCGTAGGATTTTTCTCCTTTTTGTTTGATAAATGATACAAAGTCAGATATTTATTCCTACAACCTCTCCACTTTTATTAGACATTGAACATGAAATGTTGCAAGACTATATATGGTCCATATTGTAGATCATATTGCTGTACAATTCATGTTCTCATTCACATTGCAAGTTATCATTCTTGCAGTAACAAATTAAACATAGAAATAAACAACACTTTTTCATCTCTAATATCATTAAGTCATTATAAAGTAAAAAAATAAAAAAGAAACAAAACAAAACAACCAAAAAAAAAAACACTAAAATGCCTTCGATTAAGTCCATCTTGATTACAAATCAATAATTCAAACTAATGTTTGTTCAAACTGTTGTACAAAAGTTACAAGACTGAGATTAGGGTTCAAGTGGAACTATGGAAGAGAAAGATGAAAAACAAAACTACACACAAATTATGTATATGGCTGATTATACTAAAAGCATAAAAAATTAAGACAATAAAGAAATTATGGGACAAGAAGATTATATGACGTCCACTCCACAAGTCCAAGACCTAAGCTTCCACCCACAATAATGAGTTCATACTTGAAATGCCAAAAAAAAATACCCTTGCATATCATCCTCTAGTTGAGATTGTGACTTGGCAAGATGGTAAGTCCTATCCAACTTAGCGTTGTGGTGCAGTGCAAGTTGAAGTCATGGGAGATTTCTCCACAAAAATGTAGGGGTAAGGTTGCCTATTGTAAGCGGGAGTCCTGTGCACTGGGGACAAACTTTTTTATATCAGGTTCCATTTATAAGAGAATCCTCATTTATCACTTGAATATAGGCACAGTATTCAAGTTAGACCTTGCTTATAAACACTGAAAAAAATTCCAAACCCCCAAAATGCGAGATATGAGAAACATAGATCAATGATATAGAATATAACTCAAGGCATTATCACAACTCCTTACAAATTTCCATAAACCTAACCCACTACACCACTATCACCATCCACTACACACCATCCACTACACCTACATCTATATAAGGAACCATTTGTAATAGACAGAAAATGTATCAATTTATCAATCAATCAATAATACAATTCTCTATTTCTCTTTATACATTAAATTTCTACAGAATATAACTCAAGGCATTATCACAACTCCTTACAAATTTCCATCTCAATTCCATCAATGTCAATGCTAAAATGTGTAAGCAAATGTTTAAGAAAACCCCATATTCACTTACAACTCATAGACTAGAGCATCTAAAACACTATTCTCCCATTCTCAAGCAATTACTTATCACCTAGATTTTTTCTGCTCAGAAAAGGAAAAATCAGAAGTTATAACCTTCTTTATGGTTATTCATATATGATTTTGTTTCTTGAACACATTTAAGTCTAAGAAGCTATCATCTTATTTTTCTCAAAATAGATTAACCTAACAAAAAAATTTGTCTATAATTCACAACACCGCTCTCCCTTGCATGGACACAAGAAATCCACAAGGTGAAGGCAGCAGGTACACAAGAAAACTAGGGATTGAAAACACCATGAGCATCCATAATCAGATAATGACAACGAAAAAAAAAGGAAGAGGTCAAAAATTGCGGCCTTAGTTCATATAATTTTATTGTTTTTCCTTCTTTTCTTTCTTCGCTGGAATGTTTACATTTTGGTCACGTATGATTCTATCTGGAGGAATAAATTCCCAAAATTCATCCAAGCTCGTTTCCAATTAAAATCTCTTTATTCATCACAAAATCATTTCAACCTAGGAAGATAGAGAAGGAGATCGAGCATTGAGCGAAGAAGATCAATGTCGAAGTCGAAGCCGTCGAAGCCAACGATCAGAGGGATCAAAGTCGGCGACCAGATCGATGTCTTCACCATCTTGAACGGCGACCAGGTTCTCTCTTGCTCTCTCCTCTTTCATTTCTTTTGCCGTATCCATTTGTAACAAGCCGTATCCTAACCGTATCCCGCACTCGTACTCGTGTCGTGTCGGCACGGGTACCTCCGAAAATCCAAAGAGTCTGTGTAACGTACCCCTTACCACTAGTACGACCTTTTCTACCTCCCAACTAAGGTTGACCATGAAATTTCCAACAATGCTCCCTATCATACCTCGATTGATTGTAGTAATCACATAAAAAATTATCCTTATCATCAGACATCTTATTAGGCCGACCCCTATTAAGTTTCTTACGTTCTAACTTGGAGTCAAAAGAAATAGTAGTAACTAGATAGAGTTGAACTCTCACAAGGATGTAGACAGATAGGGGTGAGCATGGTTCAGATTGGTTTAGTTTAGTCATAAACCAAGACCGATCCATTAGTTACAGTTCCATCAAATTTGGAACCAAACCAATCTATGAAAATCTTGGAATCAATCCGAACCGAACCACTAAACCACAGTTCGGTTCGATTTGGAACTGCAATTTTAAAAAATATTATTGTTATTCACAATATGATCACAAAATATTATTCACAACCTAAGAATTGTTTACATGATTGTTTAAAACTAGTTCTATCATTATACAAAAATATATTTATAATAGTAGAGAGTTATAATTTATATATATATATTCGATACTAATAAAATATTTTAGTATTTACATTCAGTAACAAATTATATATAAACGATCCGGCTTAGTTCCAACTAGATTCGTAACTATAAAACCACGAACCAAACCGTGAAGTATGGTTTGCCTATTTCAAAAACCAAAACCAAACCGTGCGGTTTGGTCTGGACCGAGCCGGTTCACGATTTTTTTGATTTTTATGCTCAACCCTATAAACAGAACATAATCTTGTGCTTACTCTCTTCATGATAAACATAGGCAAAGGCATTATGTTTATCATGATTTGGATCCTAACCTGATCATATGCTAGACCTAATCTAGTAAGAAACTCAATAGTCATTTCTTGTTCAATTAACTTCTACAATTTCAAAGCATCCGCAAGATAATCCACACCAATTGTCTAGTTAAGATCCAACTCCTTCCATTAGGCACAAAGTATGTGAAAGTAAGTAGCAACAATATAATCCCTTTGCTTATTGTTATGAATCCGATATTTCAAATCATACATGTGCCATATTGCCTCTTTTGAGTAAGTCTATGCAGTTGCATCCCAAATCTCCTTTGCAATATCCATGAATAAATCACCATTATAGATTTCAAGCCACGATACATCATGGAATTCTCCAAGTCATATTAGTCATGAAAGTGGACCCTCATCCTTTGGTCCACTTTTTTTCCCCCAGGTCACATAACCCATTTTCCCTTACTCTTAATAAACAACTTGACTGACTAACCCATTGAACTTCACTATTGCCTTTTGTTGAGTACAATTTTTAGTCCCAAATGCAACTTGACAAACAATGTTTGATGGTTGTTGAGAAACCACTTTCTTCAGCCATTATTACCTAGTATCTCAAAAAAGAATAGCACAACCTAAAAAGCACGAGCACGAAAATGTGATACTATGACATGAAAATTTTCAAAAAATATAAGACACGACACACGAGGGTCTAGCACAAAATATATAATTGTATATTTTGTCATATGTCATAGATAAGGATTAAAATTATTATATGTCAGGCATGGAAATATTTAATTAAAAAATAATAACAAAATGAAATGCAACACTAATTTCTGAAGTGTAAAAGAAAAGAATAATTACAAATTTATATTGTTTTTCTTTTATCATTTAATTCCCGGTTATTTTATTTAAACTTGTAATGTGTTTCGTGTACGTCTAAGTAATATACATACTCCCCAAAAGTCTAAATCGTATCTGAGTACATAAAATTATAAACGATAGTAGGACATGTATGGATGTGTGTTCAATAAGTCGATAAGTCTCCGACAAGTGTGTGGACACGAGGTTTTGAGGCTGCCATTTCCATAAGAGAGGGACCAAAGGCGTCTCAAAGGCAATAGAAGGTCCGAGAGGGGTTGATGGATTTTAGGAGTAGCCACCTGGATATAGGTCCTAGGAAACCATATATATGATATGAGCCTCCAAGGATAGGCACCAATCCCGTCGTTTACCCATAGATAATGAGCTCGGGGGTATGTTACCAAGTGGGAAGGTGTTAAACACTCACTTAGCCTAACCATATGGTTAGTCTCTATTGAAGCATAATCTTGTTTCATAATTAAGCTAAAAGTAAATTTAACACATATATACAAGATGTGAACAAATAATCAAACTAGTAAAACAAATTATTACATGAAAAAAAGAAAGAAAGAAAACAATATGATAAATTCAATAACTAAGTAAAAAAACATTAATCTCATGGCGCATCATAGGCAAGGTGAATATAGCACAAAATCCTAAACTTAAGGAAAATTCCTATCATGTTCCTAAGCATGCAAATGACATTTATAAGCTAAAATAAATAGCTAACAATAATTTATATATGTAATATTCAAGTTTGATTTTAGAAAATTTAAAGCAGGAAGGTGATATGAGTAAAAACAAAAAGCTTATACCTATAAAAGCGTGATTTGAAGAATACAAAGTGCCTGGCCTTGTTCCTCTAATGAAATCCCCTCGGTTGTGAATGATCTTCTCGAGTGAGCTTGCTTGAGGAATGCTTGAACAAGTCTAAGAACTCTAAATGGGATGATATATGCTTGGGATATTCATGTATGTATCAACGGTTCAATCTCTCACCAATTTGGCTAAAATGTATGAAGATCTTCTCTCTGTACGTTCTCCCTCTCGAAATGGGTGAATAGTGGTCTTATTTATAGAGAAAATGGCCTGAAGGATCGAGCCAAAGTCAAGTAGACAAGACTTGGTCGGGCAAGAAAAGTACAACAGCTTTCCAGGCAAAGATGGTGCGGGAGGCCTCAAAGTGGCATGCGCAATAACAAGACCTCACCATGGCACCCGCCATGTGGCCTTCTGACATGCCAGTACGATCTTGGTTCGTGCTGCTTTGCTTTATTACAGTATGTCGTGCGCCGTTTCATTCTAGCGCACGCCTAGATGTACGGACGCGCATCAACAGGCTTTTGGTGGTCTATTTTTTGGGGCAAAAACTATGTTGGTCTTAGGATGGTTTGAATTGGTTCAATAGATTTCTAGAGTCATGCAAGCCTTTCTCAATCAATCTCGCTTTCTAAGGAGTAGTTTCTTCTTCTTCTTCTTCTTCTTCTTCTTCTTCTTCTTCTTCATTAGGGATATCACGGAGGTATACGAATCTTATAGTCAAACCAAATGGGGTGTCTACAAAGTGTCATGTTGTGTTAGTGTCCGATGAGTGTTATGACACCTTCTTAGAAGTGTTTGTGCTTCTTACACCACAACCAAGCAAGATTATCCAACAATAGTAAACAAAATACTTAACACAAAGAAAAAATAGTGTCGAGAGAACTTGCCAAAGTGAAGAAGATCCATTGCCGACAAAAAAATGGTGAACTGACCACAACAATGGAGTTAAATAGAGTGGTACCGCTGAGACCCAAGACAAGCACTGTTGCCCTAAAAAATTGGTCTTCCAAACCCCAACAATTCCCTGCTGAGCCAAATGAAGAAGAAACTTGGGTTGCTGAACACTGCTCTATGCCAGTCAAACCTTTTTATAGCTTCATAATTTTTGCAAAAAAGAAAAGATAAAAAATATATTAGGACAACTTGGATTAGAAAAAGAAAAATATAGGAAGAATGAACTCTCCTAATCGATCATGTAGAGTAAATTTTTTATATTTTTGTTTTACATTACAAGAAGTTTGGTTTTATACCCATAAGCACTAGATTCGATGGTTTCTCTGATACCAAGTTGAACATGGTCAAAAAATGAGAAGGAGAGAAGAGAAGAGAAGAGGCACAAGTTCTTGAGATAGAAAGGGAGAACGAAAATTAGGATTCAAGATCAAGGGGTTGGCCTGGTGAATGAGGTGCTCCCCTCTACTGGGCGATTTAAGGGAGCACCTCATTCAAGTGTCAACATTACGCGATATAACTTACCCTTTCACTATTCTTGTCCTATTGATTGTAAGGGGAAAAAAGGATTTTCTCCCTTAATTCCTTGTATTTAAACTAGTTTAGTATAGACTACAAAAACAACATTTTGACAAATATAAGGAAGAATTGTAAAATAACTATAAAGCATACTCAACATGTAAACTTGCATTTGCCAAACACGGCTAATTATGGTGATCAAACTTGATTAGTGAAAGAATGGTGGCTGAATATGGAGAAGACACCTCATGTTGCGAGTCATTCTCATGTTGAACACCCACTTTATTTATTCATGCAATTGACCAAGTCCGGTCTCATTTGGAGACTTCACCGAGTGCTAGAGAGAGTAAATCCACGAAGAAAACTTTAGAAGAGATTGCATTAAGGTAAGATTCTCCATCTTCATTTTGTTTTCATGCTTTTGGAACCTTCTCTAGTTCATCTCCTTCTTCAAAGACCTATGATAGTAAACATAGAATCTGGGCTTTGCATGCTTATAGCTAGAGGTGGCAAATTGGTGGGTTTGGGAGGGTCAAATGGGTATGCATTTAAAACAACCCAATCCAAACTCGCCCATTTAATAATAGGTTTATGCAGGTTGGGTTGAATTAGATATGGGTTGGACAATTGAACCCAACCAATACATTTACTTTGTTGAATGGTGGTGGCAGAATGGCGGCCGCGGCGGCAATGGTGGTGGAGTAGTGGTGCACTTGTCTTACTGTTTATTGTGTGTTGCACTTGTCTACCCAATGCGTCCATGCAACCAGTGTTGTCAGGCCCTTTGCTACTTACCCTTATAGGGAGAGCTCACCGTGGGGGGTGGCAGTTCGGCCTTAATCTTGCTGTTGTTGCTGCTGCTTGTCTTGGTGGTGCAATGCCTTTCATATAATTTTTAAGGTTAGGAAATTAATTGTGTTTTGGTTGGGTTAGTATGAGTACATTGTAAATTCATTATTCAAAAAAGGGTTGTTTGCTTATTATATGATACTCTCTTTTTTCCTTTTTTTGATGGGGAATATATGAACGGGTAGTAGAGTGATGGAGGTGTTGGAGTGGTGTGGTGGTAGTGGTGGCAATGGAGATGGTGGTGGTGCCCGTTAAACGATTACCTATGTCCAACCCATTTAAATCCACTTTTAATTGGGTTTGTAAGATGCAACCGATTTATGAATTTGGACGGGTTTAAATGAATTTTAAATGGGTGGAATTGGGCAGGTATAATTGGGGTGGTTGAGTTTGCCACCTCTATTTATAGCTGTTCAGATGGAATTAAACTTGAATTTGGGACTTGTATGGGTCACAACCTACATGCTTGTTGATATTTAACTTAACCACCTGAGCATGATTTTGAACTTGTGCATGTGCTAGAACTGATGCATCCAAGACCAAAGCCAAACCTAGTTTGATTTTGAGGTACTATGGAGTTGTATTTTGGCTTAATTTAAACTGAATATTGGTTTATCGACTTCAAATACTGGTGTCGCAACTGCTAGATGTGAGGGAGGATGTCCGAGTGGTCAGACGTCCAGAGATGCAGCCAGACATCTACTGCTTACGTTTGGGCTGAAATAGCTTTCAGGATCTGTATTTCAACTTGATTACAATGTGTTTGTAAAAAATTGTGTAGGCTTGTCTAACGAAGGAACTAAAAAGAGTAAAGGATTTAAGAGGCCAGATTGACGTGTGACTTGTCATTATATGATATCTTCGTTATATGTTTGAAGTCCAAGTCAACACGAATTCCCCACAGTAAAAGTTTATTGATTATGTAAGATTTGCAATATTTGAAATGATTTATGGAGTGAAAGATCCCTAATGTTTAGTTATGTTCATTATTCATTATATTTTCAATTATAAGCTATGAAGCACGGATACGGACACAGACACAGATACGGGATACGGCAATTTCCAAAAAATGAGGACATGGGCATGGCAATTTTTTTTTTTTTTACATATATTTTTATGTGTTATGTAGATTCATATTACATTCATCCTAAATCAAAATTAACAAACACTAACATAGTAACATTAATTCAATAAATATAACCACTACATTTAAACAAATTAATAGATCATCCATTAACAAAAAAGTCATAATAAACGATAACAAGAACTAAGACGAGAAGGGGAAAACATTCAACATCTAACAATATTCTTCACAAAAACACTAAATAAGAGAGGCAAAAGAAAAAAGAAAAAAGAAAAAAAAAATGAGCCTGCCGTGTCCCGATATGGACCCGCGTGTCCCCGCCGTGTCCCCTAAAAAAAAAATATCATTAAATTAAAGGGACACGCCTTCTGGCGTGTCCCCGTGTCCCCGGCGTGTCCTCATGTCGGACACTGCCACGACACCAATTTTGTAGTGTTCATGCTTCATAGATTATAAGTGATGTCTATAGTAAATAAAAACTGCTCCAGTATAATGTCACTCACTGAGCTTGATAGCTCACCTTTGATTCTTAAATGTTTACAGGTGTAAGGTATGATTAGGACAAAGGCATCTTGTGTGCACATGTACATGAAGGCTTTTGCATTTGGAAGATGGGGACTTTTTGTGATATATATATATATATAAGGGTAGAAGAATTTAGAATCTTAATTTTGAGTATATGATGTAAGATATTTGTTTGGGATATACATTTCTGGAATGGGAATGTACCTTGGACACTCATCTGATGAATGACTTGCACCATTATCTCCAGTTTTTAAACTAAGCTTCTGTTGTAATTTAAATTAATTAATTATAATAATAGCTGTATTTCCCATCCAGTTTAGGGTAGGCCTTAGTAGCAAAATACTATTGGCCAGTCGCTGTCCGCTGTAGAGTGCAGGGTCGGGGTCGGGGTTGGGGTTGGGACGGTTTCAGTGTGTTTCGGTGCATTGCGGATATGTTGCAGGGCGTTTCAATGAAAATACTAGAATTTTGTTATTCCACTAGGGTTTCGTTTCAGTCTGGACAAGAAAACGTTTTGGCTGTTTCAATGAAAACAAAAGGATACTTTGTTCGACATTTTAAGCTCATGTAATCTTTTTGTACATATAATTGAAGCAATTCATGAGAAGTAAATGTAACTCCAAACTCAACTGTATATTGTGTCTAACATATTGCTCAAATATTCTCCACATCCATTTATCCCTTTATCTATGTTTGCTTGAGCTTATCTAACGCCATTTCCACTGCTGCAACAAAGTATCTAGAGAAGTACTAAGGAAAACTATGAACCCATTGACATCCCATGGAGAGAGAGAGAGAGAGAGAGAGAATAAAACAAAACAAAAACAACAATATATACACCTACATATGTGTGGGACAAACCCATTTCGGGCTCCCACATCGGTCTGAGAGGCATCCACAATATGATTGGTAGCTGTTTGGCAGGTGGACATGGTTATTAACAATGAAATAGCTACTTCCATAACCTACCTATGTGTTTCAATAGTTTGCAAAACAATTAGAATGCTTTAAAAACAGATGTGTCAAGAAGCAAAAGCAGCAACCTATATAATAACTACAGTTTCAAATGTTTTAACCATCACAGAGGTCTTGAGACATACCAGTATAAACGCTCATCGATGCCAAGTTTAGACCTTGTTATATCCTTTTCTTCCAACTGGATACCTAACAGCATAGAAGAAACAGCATAAACCATATTCTTCCAGACAGAAACAAACCTCCACATCCTTGATTATCTCAAAGCCATATTCTTCTAGCCGCACAAACCTCCATTACATTACCTCTTTTATTACCTTGTATTTTGGCTTCTATATCTACTTCAGAGTTCTGCTCCCCATATATATGCCTGAGAACAGGCAGAGCTTTATGTAGCAGGTGCTGCAATCGCTGAAATTTGGTACCGTTATCCAGTTCTTTATCACAAACCTGCCAGATTTTACAAAATAAGCAAACAAATTCCAACACAGATGACCATACAAAAGAAATCAGGAAGGAAAAAAAAAAACATAGAGAGAGACAGAGAGAGAGAGAAACAAGAGGAGGAAAACACACACCTTCGCAGACAAATACTCCCGTAAGCAAGCTTTGCAATTGCAGTTGCCACAACAAAATGGACATGCATTCTCAACGTCCTCTCTTGTTTTTTCAGGATACCTGTTTTATGATTTTAAAAGGGTAGCACACATCTCAAGGACAACTAAATTTAGTTAAAACAATAGTACAGGTTTGAATATAATTGATTGAGGACTGCATTAGGATGTGATCAAGCAATACTCAAACCAGTCCCAGCTACAAACCCTGACAAGTTTTTTAAAATAAATCATGAGATATCTTAAATAAACATAGATATTTGTGTGTGCATGTGTAGTATTTTACAACTAATTAAGTTGGTTACATTCAACTGCCAACTGAACTCAACTTGGTTTCCAATAAACAGCAGTCAGGTGAACTAGGCTATTAAGGAAGCACCAGAATCAATTCAGCCAAGTATCGGGCTATATGCTTGTTTATCCACCACTCAAAGCACACATGCAGATCATGAAATTAACGATCAGGGTTCTTTTTTGGTTGGGTGGCAGGAGACAGGGCGATTCTGAACACAAGACGAGAAAGGAAGAGATGATCAGAGAGAATAATTAATGCCAAGAGGGAGACAAATAGAGAGTTGTATCTTTCCCTCAAGGGAAAAAAAATTCTGATCACAAGTTATACAATCACCCAACTTTCTTCTAGTAGTAGACTGCTTTGATCTTTCAACAATTTTTAATTGTGCCACATATAAACCAAATTTCTGAACCATGCACGTTAGTTTAACATAAATAACTGAATAGAAAGCCAACAACCCCCCATTAAACAAATAATAATAAATCGGAGTAAGCTACACCACAAAAACGCATATATATGGCACATTGAATTAGCAAAGTGGTATATATCTACAAATTAGCTTTCCATATCAGTGCCACTGCTTAAAAACAAAAATTAAACAGCAATGTCAAACAATAAATTGGGCCAACTCATCCATCTCTTTGATCTTCCAGTAGCCACCAAGGAAGGTGGCAAAAAGAAAGAAGGAGAGGTAATTGGAGGTGACAGGCACATGCAACGCCACGCCTCCAATCGTCAAAATAAGGAATGTTGTTTCATATTTCAGTAAACATGTTTGCCCAATCATATGATAGAGTTGTTTCAAGAATATTTGCTTAAAAAAATTATCACTAATTACTAGATACTATTCTTACCACTTTGCAAGACACTCATAGCAGTAGCGTTTCCTTTTACAACTGGAACATACGACAACACCATCCTTATCATTCCGAAAACATTGATGACACATTAAACTCACCCGCTCCTTGTTTTCATTTGTTTTATCCTGAAAAACAAGTTTGTTAGAATTGATACAACTTACACTATTGAACATTAAAGAATATCCAAATTCAGTCCACTAATGTATAAACTTTTCTTTTTCACTTTTCAGATATGAAAAACCAAGTCATCCAAATATCTAGCAAGAAGAAGAGGAGAAACATATGGCATTTAAACAAATTTGTTCCTTCTAATTATATGTCAAGGGTGTGAAAGCTAAAACAACACAAATCACATGACCCAAAGTCATATGCATATTCATTCTCATACCTGAGTCCTCTGCTAAATATAAACCCAAACCCATATGGAGACACTGGCAAACAACCCCATCTAATAATCCAGGATGTCATATCAAAGAAAGTTGCAAGCATTCAAAACCAAAAACAAAAAACTGAATAGGTGAAGAGGAAGAGAAAAGAAGAGAAAAGACCAAGTCAGTCATCCAAATATCCAGCAAGAAGAAGAGAAAAGAAACATATGGCATTTAAACAATTTTTTTCCTTCTGATTATGTCAAAGGTGTGAAAGCTAAAACAACACAAATCACATGACCCAAAGTCATATACATATTCATTCTCATTCCTGAGTCCTCTGCTAAATATAAACCCAAACCCATATGGAGACACTGGCAAACAACCCCATCTAATAATCCAGGATGTCATATCGAAGAAAGTTGCAAGCATTCAAAACCAAAAACAAAAAACTGAATAGGTGAAGAGGTAGATATTCATACTCAACTTAAGCCTTAATCCACAATTACTTGGGTGAGAAGTTGGATATCCATCCATATGGCTTATGTTCCCCCTAATTTAAATTCTCTCTTAATGTGCCTTACATCGAACAAAATCTTATCTTGTTCAAGATAAATTTTGTCGTGAATGAGAAACATCAAATTTGTCAAAGATAGTAAGTAGTGTTTCAAAATTCACAATAAAAAGAGAAGAATTCTAAACCAATGTGCTTCAGTGACACGCTCATTCGAATATTGAGTACGAAAGTCAACAACATAGCTTGTGTAAAACACCTCTAAGGTTGAGAGAGAGTGTCATTCCGGCGTGAGAGTGAGTGTACAAGTGGTTCAGGGATTGGGTATTTTGCAGAACCACGCAAATATTGCCGGCTTGTTTGGTTTGTTTTTGGGAGACTTGTTTTTGAAAAAAAATTTGGGAAGAGAGTTTGGAAATTTTTTTAGTTTGTTTGGTTGTATATTTTGAGAGTGTTCTTTTTTTGAGAGTTTGGGATGATTTGATATTTTGAGAGAATTTGAGTAGATGTGTGTGAGAGAAAAAGTGATTGAAAACAAGAGAGGAGAGAGAAAAAATGATTGATTGACATGTAAAAGAAAGAAAGTGATTTTGAAATTTTTTAAAAAAAAACTCAAGCCAAACAATATTTTAAATTTTTTTTTCTAAAACTCATCTCCCAAATGCAAACCAAACGTACCCTGCATATTCAATCGTCTTGATTTCATCTTTATTTCTTTCCATTACGAAGTGATATGAAATCATAATAAATAAATAAAGGTTGAAACAATATCTAGAACAAAACAATTACTCACACTGTTTCATCAACTATTCTTTTCCTCATTATTTTATAAACCCAAATAAGGAATAACAATTTTTTTCTTCTCATGGTGAAAAATGAAAATGAAAGTTTGAACATTTTAATCTAGCATAATATAATATAAAAAGTTAAGATTCTTAACATATAAAGCCTCCGTTTGGGAAGAGCTATTTGGGTTTTAAACCTCCGCTTGGGAAGAGTTATTTTAGAGTTTTTTTTTTACAAAAGACAAAATAAATTATTTTAATTTTAAAAAAATAAAATATCACATATAATCCATAATTAAAAGTCAAAAAAAAGTTAAAAAGTAAAAAAAATCATTCCCAAACCAAACTTTTTAATCCAAATTATAAAAAAAAAAAAAAATCAATCGCCAACCGACGAAATAAAAAACGCAAAGATAAACTGTAGCAGCAAAAGAAAAGTATACTATAATATACTACTGTACAATTAAAAAATGTAGCAAATTCAAACTCACCAATCCAATGACTGTCGACGACTTTCTCTTTTCCAACCCACGAATCTTCTTCATATTCTCACCAGAATTAAACATTTTCTCACTGATTTTCTCACCGGAATTCAACATTTTCTTATTAACTTTCTCTGCCTTAAACATCAAGAGCTGTTGCTTCAATTCAATCTCAGTCCCACACGCTTCTTCATCATCCGAACACCCCCTCTTAATCTTCGCTCTCCTCTCGGATCCACCACTCGACCTTCCTTCTTCATCAAATTTTCTCACGATTTTCTTCATACTCGCTTTCTTCAGCTGATCGTAATGGTTCTCGCAATACGGCCTTCCCGTCAAAGCCCTCTCGCTGCACCGCCATCTCTGACAGCCCTGTCTCCGGCACCGGTGATCCGACGAGACCTCCATCACAACCGATCACCAAAAATCCAACGTCTGGGATCGTTTTCACAGCGATCATTCAAGATCTATCTCCATCAAACCGATCGTAATTTGAAATCCATGAATTGGGTTTTTGTATGTATGTATGCATGAGAAATGGCTTGAAATTTTTTGGATTCGATTTTGATTCTGTGCTTAGCTTTTGTCGCAAGAAAGAGAGGCGATTAAGAGGATAAATGTATTGAAAAACGTAACAGAGGGGTTAGAAAATTCATGTGTGAATTGGGAATTTTGAGATGATAAGAAAATTTTGATCGAAGAATGGAAAGTCGCGAGACCGGAGATTGTGCTCAAGGAAGAAGCTAGGAAGAAACGGACATTGTTATTACCATTGGTGAGCCCGCATGGTTGACGCCAGGGCAATTATTCCGTGTAAGCTTGAGTCAATTTATACTTTTTCTTTCTAAAATTATGATTTTGGGGGATGTTTGGATAACACAAAAAAATAAAAAATTTAATAATTTTTTAACCTTATAAGAAAAAAATATAAAAAAATAAAAAAATTTATTTGATAATTTACATTAATTTTTTCACCTTTTGGCTAAAAATTGTAATTCCCAAACAAAGCCTTATCATTGATTGTTTTCTCACTTTTGATCAATTTTTAACCTATACTCGACCTAAATTCATACTAAAGAGTAATTCATAAATAAATGCAAAAAAAAAATCAACCTATACTTGACCTAAATTCATACTAAAGGGTAATTCATAAATAAATGCAAAAATATTCTTTACATTAACGTGGGAGGTAAGTCTTGAACAATTGCGTTGCAGGGCAGCCAAACAAATAAGACGACGGTTGAACAAGACATATTTTAGTGTGTTTAGATAAAAAAAAAATTGAATATATGTGCAAGCGTGATATTAAGTCAGATAGTCAAATCCGAGCAATAAGTGGACCAAGTTAATAATAAGGCCTTCGTTTGGGATGTGAGTTGACTTTTTAATTTTTTGATTATTTTAACTTAAAGTTAAAAAATTTAATTTATGATGAATTTTTTAGTTTTTTTGATTTTTATGAAAAAAAAATAGAATGATTATGATTTGAATGTTATTTTTTATCTTATTAAATTAAAAAAATTATTTTATCTTTTTTTAACTAAAATAATCCAAATTCAACCCAAACTTTCATGCTAAACGAAGCGAAGGCCACATTAGTATGAGGTTGTGCTTTATCATTTATTGAAAAAAAAGTCATAAATGTGGGATACTATCTTGTCCGAGTGGAACAATAAGGTAAAGTGGTAACTAGTGACTGCCCGTGAGAACAAATAATTTAATTAATTCTAAAAATATGATATATGCGATATAGTCATTTTAACTTTTGTCACGAAGTTACGTATCGAATTGAAGAGTCTTCCAACTAACCATTCTAGTCAAGTTATTCATAGGAACGGCGCTCCGATCCCCGATGGTGAGCATTGCCTCGTTCCCGGCCCCGATCCCCGACGGGAAACCTATTACTCTCCCTATCCTCGCCCCCGATCGGGGATCGAGTTTCCCTAACCCCGAAAATTACCCGGCCTAAATTTGTTTCAACATCATCAATAACAACATTACACATACATTTTCAACAACAACAATAACATAGATCTGAGAGATGCACAAAATCATCAATATCATCAAATAGATCAGCGACAACATAGAGACACACATATATTTTCAACATCAACAATAGATCAACTACAAAAAAAAAAAATTAAAAAAAATGATAGAATAAGACACACAGATCTGAGAGGACGACGGAGGAGGGAGGGAGAGAGAGAGAGAGAAACTAGATTTGGTAATATCATCACCATGCTCGATCGATCTCGTCGAAGGACGAGGAAGAGGAGGTGGCACTCGTCGTCGTCGTCGGAGGGCCTGGTTCGTTTGGACCGTCGACAGCGCTGTGTTGGGGAAAGAGCTCTCAGAGCGGAGGAGGAGGGGCTCTATAGATCTGGTGAAGATCTCGGCTTGGAAGGAAAGTGAAGGTCTCTGTTTCACCCATCTGCACGAGCTCGTCCGCCATTGATCTTCATCTCAAGAACTACACAGCAGAGAGAGAGGGAGAGAGGCTGAGAGAAGTGAGTGTAATGCGAGTGAGAGAGAGGCTGAGAGAAGAGAAGTGACACAACATAACCTAAACATATAATATATATATATATTTATTTATTTATTTATTTATTTATTTATTTATTTATTTATTTATTTATTTATTTATTTATTTATTTATTTATTTATTTATTTATTTATTTATTTATTTATTTATTTTTAGTTGTTTTTGTTTTGGGTAGAACGAAACTGCCAGGGAAATATGCACCTACCAATGAAATAGACACACAAAAAAAAAAAAGAAGGAATATATTATGCACATAAGATATATACCATTGGTTTCGGCCAAGTTGAGTTTAAATCCATTTGTTTAGCCAGAAAAATAAAAGAAAGGAAAAAGCAGAGGTTGCTGGGTGTGTTGGGAGAGTGGGTGGACAATATTAAAATAAAAAGAAAGAAAAACAGAGAGAATTTGTTGCGTAAAAAAAAAGAATGATGAGTTTGAAAGGGAAAAGATAAGAGAGAGAGAGAGAGAGGGTTGATAAAGTTGGGGTTTGTGTCTTTAATAAAATCGGGATGGCGACTGAAATGCATGAAAAGGTGGGTCTTCGTGTCAAGTAGTGGTGACGGTAGGGAACCGGAGGAAACAGATTTTCATCCCCATGGCGCATGTTAGCAGCCACAGCAAGACTAATAATCTCCAAAATGATGAAGAAATACCAATACCCATATCCTATCTAGAGAGAAGACAAAACAAACAAAAAAAAAAAACAGAAGAAACCCAAATAAAAGGTGAGTGAGAGAGAAATGTTTTGATGTGGTGCAGTTGGAGAGGTATGGGGAGATTGAGCCGCGGAGAGAGAGGTTTGAGAGAGAGAGCTTGTAGATGCGGCCGCTGTTGCAGGTGGCGCCTTCCAGGTATGAGGCGGAGCCGCCGTAGGAGTCCTTGAAGGTGGTCTTGGTCCAAGGTGTTGTCCACATCTGGGCCAGTGTCTGCCGTTGATGGCAAAGGAATCAGCTTTGCAGCTATTTCCGACTGGGTCATACGGTGGTGGAAGTTCTCGGACAAGATGGAGGTGCGACCGTTGCGCATTTAGTGATATGTTTTTCTTAATTATTATCAGTGACATCATCCTAGTGACGTCACACCCTTGACAGGGACAAAACAAGTAAGAATAAAATTTATTCACCCCCCCAAAAAAAAAGAGAGAGAATAAAATAAAGGGCAAAAAACGTAATGCGTGTCTCACGTGCCACTGCAGACCAAGCCGAACGACTTCGTTTTCTTCTCGAGCCCAAACTCTGAGCCCGCGGCCCAATGGGCCTCTGTTGCCTTGCCTGGAAGATTTTGATTTGTTTTGTTTTATTTTGCAAAAATTGTTTTTAAACGAATTTTTAAAAATCATATAAATGATTAATATTTTATTTATTTATTTTATATTCCAAATTATTTTTAGTTTTATTATTTCTTTGTTTTAAATAGAGAACAAATTTTAAAAAATCAACCGAACACCTATTTTCCTTTCCGTGTCATTCTAGTAAAGGAAAACAAAATAGAAAATATATAATTTGAATGTACATTTTACAAATTTAAAATATTTTTACACCTACTAGATATTGTTCACAATTTTTTTTTTTTAAAATAATAGTATCATTAACATTTTATTCTTTCATATAGTCTCAAAATGATTTCAAATTCTCAGAAGAAGAAGGGGTTATCAGAAGATGGCTATATAGACACACATAAGGGTCATTATTTGATCTTAAGGTCTACAGCTTGATAGGCTTTTATTTGATTTAGGCCTTGTTTGGCATGCGTGTGTTTTAGTTAAAAAGTTATTAAAAAAATCAAAAAGCCTATAACCTATATCAAAAAGTGAATTTTTTTTTCTCTATTTTTTACATATATTTTCGTAAAAAATCAAAAACTCATTCCAAACATATTAGTGTTTTTGTCTCATATTTTAGTCAAAAAGTTATTAAAACAGTATGTTCTCAAAAGAGACTTTAAGTTTGTATCTCTGAGTGAGATAACTTGAACCTGAATGAGATTTAAATTAAACTTAAAACTTGGCATTTAAAATCTACCCACGAATGTTAAACCGACATACGAGCTTACCTACCAGCTCGTGAGCCCAATAGAAAATATGAAAAATAAAAACAAAACAAAAACCTAAAAAAATCATGTGAGTCCCACTTTTTGTGAGATATTTATATCCCATTTTGTGCTTGCCGTTCGCTGATTAGGCAAGGTTTAAGCTGAAAGTTTTGCCATATGGGTTGGGCCAGGTTGGTTAAGAAGTAGCGTTGAGCCTTGGCCCACAAAAAAAAAAACAAAAGCAAGTTTTTTTGGGGATGTTTTAATCATAAAAATTAATCCTGATGAGATATCTGGCAACAAATTGGTTCCATGGTCTAGTGGTCAGGACATTGGACTCTGAATCCAGTAACCCGAGTTCAAGTCTCGGTGGAACCTCCCTTTTGTTTGCTTTCTCTGTATTTTTTTTCTTTTGGATCGAAGAAACAGTGATAACAAAGGTCCGAGCCCTGTTTATTTGCCATATGGGTTGGGCCAGGTTGGTTAAGAAGTAGCGTTGAGCCTTGGCCCACAAAAAAAAAAAAAAAGCAAGTTTGGGCAACATTTTTGGGGATGTTTTAATGATAAAAATAAATCATGATGAAATATCTGGCAACGAATTGGTTCCATGGTCTAGTGGTCAGGACATTGGACTCTGAATCCAGTAACCCGAGTTCAAGTCTCGGTGGAACCTCCCGTTTTTTGCTTTCTCTGTATTTTTGTTCTTTTGGATCGAAGAAACAGTGATAACAAAGGTCCGAGCCCTGTTTATGCTATGTTTGGTTGCCGAGAAAAGTTAAGAGAATTACTATCCTTATTTTTTTTGCTATGTTCGGTAGCTGGGGAAAAAAATTTGAGTGTAGAAGAGAAAATTTGTGGTTTCGGTGTTTTCTGTTGATTATGTTTTGTAAATGCAAAGCGTTTGCAGTTATAGTTAGTCTCGGAGTAGCTGAGTATTTGTCTTCTTGTAGTGTTACTGTGTTATATGATTTTTCGATTGAAAAAAATGGTTGATGTCTTGGATTCCTATATTTTCTCGGAAACCAAACGAACCCTAGCTCACTGTTAATGTTTATGGCATTTGTTTATTCTTTTTTCCTTTTTTCCCCCTTTGGACTACAAAACATTTGTTTTCTTTTATTATTAGGTAATTGATGAGTAAAAGATGAGGAAATTATTTGCAAATTAATGGAGTGCAAGTCAGAAAGAATTGTGTTGATGCTCATTTGCACTCCACTGATTGGCAATTAATTTTTGCATTTCC